GTGTCCCGACCCTGCAGAGAGAGAGAGAGAGTGTGTGTGTGTGTGTGTGTGTGTGTGTGTATGTGTGTGTGTGTATGTCCCGACCCTGCTCCCATTCCCAGTTTCCTTTCTGCCTGGACTCTGCCAGGCGTAGCCTGAGTTTTCTTCTGGGGTAGAGCCGGGAAGCCTTGAAGGGTCAGGCTGGCCCTTAGCCCCTGGCTTTCCCCTGTCCTAGCTGACGGGGGGGGGGGGGGGGGGGGGGGGGGGGGGGGGGGGGGGGGTTCAGCCTGAGCCAGCCACTCTGCACGCAGCCTCGCAGCCTCACTGGCCTCACCCTGCATGCACAGCGCCTGACCACCGCTTCCCTCCCCCGCTCCCCCGGGAGACAGATCCTCAGGGTCATGGCAGGGCTGGGCCCTTTTCTTCTTCCCAGCCCTCCCGGCATAAAGAATTCAGCAGGCTTCCTCGGAAGCCATAAATATTTAATGGCGTTGTAGTTATATATAATTTGATCAATATGTCAGTGCTAAAAGGGCTTTAAGGAGGCCCACCTATCACTGAGTGGTCTGAGGGACACTCCCGCCCTCCCGAGCTGGGGCCATTATCTTCGTGCCTGCTAAGTGGGTCATTTATTTGCTCTCTCCTTTAAAGACCCAAGCAGCGGCTGTGATGGGGAGAGGACACGGGCTTTGGGGCTTTCACTGGAGGGGGTGGCGCCCCTGGGACTCTCCTCCTGAAGCGGTAAAAAAACAACCCAATTGCTCTCAGCTTCGGGCCGTCCTGGCAGGGACTGGCATCTCCAGTCGGTAATTGAGGGCCTTTCAATTTGGATTCACCCCGGCAACACGGTGCGGGAGGGGGTGTCCAGTTAGAAGGGCCTCGGCACATGGTTCTGGGCCTTCCAGGATCTGATCACGAGGGTGTGCTGGCGCCCGGGGCTGGTCTGTTGCGTCTGCACAGCAGCCCCCCAGCCCTGCCAGGGCCCCTCGGCCTTAGCTCGGGTGGCACAGGCTCGGCGTGGTATGGTTCATGCCAGGACCTGAAGTTGAGAACCGGAGCCTTAAAATCTGTGACTCTGAGGAGCCCAAAGGGGACCAGCCCCTCCCTTCAACTTAGCCCGACCTGGTTGTGTGTCCAGCCAGCGCCCTCTCCCCCATACGGCCGTACCTGGTTTCCACCCCCCCCCCCCGCCCCCCCCCCCCCCCCCCCCCCCCCAGCTCATTTCTTTAGAACAAAGCCCTGCTCCCTGCAGGAAATGAAAGCCTCAGGGCCCTCACTGTCCCACTGTCCGGGGGCCCTTCAGCACAGGGCCATTCTGTGGGAGTCCCCACGCCTGCCCGAGTGCAGGGTGTGTCCTCTGCCTGTGTGGGAATGTCCATCTGTGCTGAGAAGGCCTGGCCACCGGGCCATACCGTAGCGAGCCTGGCCTGGCCTGCCAGGGTCTTCACAGCCACGGGCCTGTTGCGTGGCAACCAGGAGCCTTCTGGAGGGAGTCTGTGTTCCAGCTTCCAACCGTGATGGGCCCAGGATCAGCTCCAGCACCCGGTCTGTCTCCCTGTGTGCAAGGCCATAGAGCCGACACCAGACCCGGGGTCTGTCCAGACCCCTGCGTGGGAGGTACAGGAAGAGTTGGGAGTGGAGCAGGTCCGCCCTGCGTGGCTCCGGCCCCCCATGCTGCCAGCTGCAGCTTTTGCTCCTGTTCCTCTAGGGCTGAGTGTGTGTTGGGTGGGGCAGATAATCAGACTATTTATTTTAGTTGGGGGTCACCTAGCGATTCAGGGGACCTTCTGGGGTGCTGGGGAGCAAACCCACATGTAAGGCAAGTGCTGTGCCCACTGTACAATCGCTCCGGCCCCAGTGACCAGACGCTTTAAAGCTGAGAAGTACTGGCAGATGTGGATGTTGAATGTCCTGAGTAGCCACTGATTACACCTGCCTCCCCGCCCCCCATATTCAAAGTGCAGCCAGGACCAGAGGGCCGAGAGGAAGAGGCCGCCTGGGTGAGAGCACGGCCATCCGTGGCCCTTTGTCCGCAGTCCTGGGTCACAGCAGCTCCTGTGGATGCTGGAGTTGGGGAAGTGGGCTCTGGGGATGCTCCCGGGCCCTCAGCTCACAGCTCTGTGTCTAGGGCTTCCGCATTAGATGATCCTGCAAGTGGGAGCTCTTTGGGCAATCACCCCCCCCCTCCCTCCCCGGCATTTCTTTTGCCTAACGGTCTCGATGGAGATGTGGGCCTGATGTCACTCCCAAGCAGCACCCAGTTGGGGAGGCAGATTCTGGATTTTGCCGGGAAATTCCGCACACTCTTGCCTCTGCCTGCCCGCGGCTCTTGCCGGCATGAGTCTCGTAGTCCTTCCTTCCGAGGAACGGTGCCTTTTTTTTTCCCACCAGCGAAGCCGCCGTCTTTGAAGTGCACTTGAAAAGCAACGTTCAAAAGCCATGGCAGCCTCCCCAAACGCTCTCCCCGCTCCCCTCCTGAGGTCCAGGCTGCGGCTCAAAGGCGGCAACGGCCTGGGGACCCCGCAGGGGCATGGATGGGGGGTCACCAGCCACCACGGCTGCCTCAGGGCAACACCCGGCCCCGAGCTGCTCCCACGCGATTCTCCCTCTGATCCGGTTCCAGGTGGGGACGGACGAGTGACCTGTCCCCCTCTCGTCCCACGTGGTCCCACCTTCCCCCTTCCATTCTCGCCACTGATGTTCCGAGCCTGTTTGAATTGGATCAGATGCTGTTTTCACAGCTGTTCGAATCGGAAATGCTGTCAATGATTAACCTCGGCAGTAGTTTTTCGTTTAAAAATGCTTCTCGCTCTCAGACCGTCTGGCTTTGGCTTCTCGGGAGGAAGTTGTGTGGTGCAGTTTCTTCATTGCGGGGCCTGGAAGGTGGGGGTTCTGGTGCGGTGGTGGGGAGCCGCAGGAGGAAAGTGCTGGCAAGTGGGAACCTTGATGGTGGTCCTTGGCACCATGGAGACGGGCTGGAGAGCCGGTACGGCGGGAGGGGCACTGGCCTGGCATGCAGCGATGTAGGTTTGATCCTCAGCATCCTCTAGGCTTCCCCAAGCACCTCAGGAGTGAGCCCAGAGCCAGGAGTAAGCCCTGCACACTGCTAGGCGTGTGCGCCCTCCCCCCAGAGAAAAGCGTGTCTGTCTGGCCTACCTTCAGTTCCAGCAGTTTCCCCAACCACCCGCCAGAAAAGGGAAAGTTTAAGAAATGGATCTGTGCACAACGGTTTTCCTCTTTTGTGTTTGTTTTTGTTTTGGGGACAGCCCTGTCTGTGGGGTGAGGCTGGTGGCGGGTCTGACGTGCCCACTCTGGGTGAAGGACCTGGACTGTCCCTGCCCAGTGAGTAGCCCCAGGTCCACGGCCCCACAGGGGACGGCTGTGGTGTGTGTGGGGTCTGGGCGGACCCGTGCAGGGATTCTTGGGGTCTGCTTAAAGAACAGGCCGTCACGCCCGGACCCTGCTCGCATGTGAGTGTCCTGCAGGCCGAGCCCGGCGCCCCCAGCCTCGAGCCCGGCTCAGCTTTGCTGGTTTCTGCGTGTTTCTCATGGTCTTTGTTACACAGACGCGTGAGATGCTGCGCGCCCGGGGCCCGCTGGCACTGCAGTGAGGATTTTTCTTTTCCTTTTTCTTTTTTGGGTTTTGAGGCCACATCTGGTGATACTCCAGTTACTCCTGGCTCTGCACTCAGGAATCGCTGCTGTCAGAGTTTGGGGGGACCATATGGGATGCCGGAGATTGAACTTGGAGATTGAATTTGGGCCTTGGCGTGCAAGGCAAACGCCCCCCGGCTGCGCCGACGCCCCAGCACCTTGCATTGTTTCTGAGCTCCCGTCACACACCACCCAGCACTCAGATTTCCTCTCTCCCCACTGTCATCGCTGTGTGTGTGTGTGGGGGGGGGCAGAGGCGGGCATGGCCCCTGCCTTGGAGCACAATTTCTCGGCTTCCTCCAATGAGTCGGAGCCCTGAGGCTGCAGGAGGCTGAGGGCCATAATGTCTCCTTGCTAGCCTGTGCCCAGGGCCTGCAGATCCGGGGTGAGGCCCTTCCTGCCTCTGCCAGGTGTTTGGAAGCAGGGACTGGTGGACACTCCATCTGTGAAACAGCTTGCAGAGCATGGGAGGGGCCACCACAGCGTCTCCCAGCTGTGCCTGCCGGGGGTCGCGAGGGCCAGGTTGTTGGGAACCCCAGTGGGGTGAGAAGGTGTCTCTGCAGCCCCTCCTGTCCTTGCCAACGGCCTGAGACCTAGAACTTGGGGGTAGCGGGTGGTTGCAGGGCGCGGGGCTGGGACGTGCGGTGCCCCCTCCCGATCCTGCTGCCCCCCCAAGTCTGAGTGAGGCTTCCGACAGCCGTTGCTTTTGTTTCAAGTGTACATCTCTCTCTAGCATCATTTGACATGCAGATGATCAGAGATTTTTAAAGGCTGTTGTCATGGTTTTGTCTCTGAAAGATTGCTGTGGGCTGATGCAGGCTTTGAAGCCAGCTCGGGGACTCATCACGGCGGCCTGGGGGATTGGAAGGAGATGAGAGAAGCAGTTCTGAGCCGCGGCTCCCGCTGGTTCTGACTTCCCTCTCTCCACTCCTGTATCCACGTAGCACCGTTTTCTCTTTCCCTCTGGTCCCAGCCCTTCCACCTGAGGTCTGGGGGTTCACGTTGCAGCTGTTCTGTGGTCTGAGGGGGCTGCGCAGAGAAGACTCTGCCTGTTTTGGCGGTGCTGGTAAAAGGTTAGGGACATAGTGAATTTCTCCCTGAGCTGCTTCCGCCAGGAGGTCACGTTTCTCCCACCGAAGTTTGGTGGGACCACAGTGGGGCGCACAGCCTGGGGTGACAGTCTGGGGGAGTGTCCTGGCCTCAGGTTGCCTGGCTCTGCTCTGAGATGGAGCAGCATGGCACCCACACCCTCCAGGGCTGCTGCCTGTCTTCAGGCCCCATGGTTGTGGGGGGGATGGGCCGCCCAGCCGTCCGGCGTCCTGGCGTCTTTGTTTTTGCCTGGGCCTCACAGTCTCTCTCCTTTCACAGACGGAGATCGCAAAGAGGCTGAACACAATTCTAGCCCAGATCATGCCTTTTCTGTCTCAAGAGGTAAGAGCTGCTTTGCTGGTCGCTTCTTTTCTCTTCCAAATCAGCCGGTGGCTGGTGGGGTCTCTTCAGGAGCTGGTGTGGGGCAGAGGGAGGGAGTGTTGGCTCCGGAGGCCTGAGACTGGCCAACCAGGGACAGGAGGTGCCCGGGGTCTGCCAGCCCCATCAGCATGAGCAGCACCAGCCTCGGGAACAGCCAGGAGCGAGGAAGCCTGGCCGTTGGCAAGGGCCAAGCCCGGAGGGGGAGCTGGTGTCCAAAGGGGCTGGTACATCCTGGCACTGCATGCCCCGTGTCCCTGAGTATGACTTGGGGTCCCTGGGCTCTGCCTGAGTGCCCAGCTGATCCCCAGCACCACATCCTCAGGCCCCGTTGTCGAAATGCTGGCCGGTTGGCTGGGAATCACTGGGTGGGGCCTTCGAGACTCCTGAGCACTGCGGCAACAAGCCTTTCAGAATCATAATTAAAAGAAAGGAACAGGATGACTGTAGTGGGCTCAGATGCTCAGTGCAGCCGGGCAGGCAGCTGCTGGTGGGGCAGGGGTCCCCAGCTGAAGGGAGCAGATACACCTGGCTTCCTCAGGAAACTTGGCTCCTCAGAGCCATTTCAAGGGCTCCCAAGGCCGAGGGGAAGGTTGGAGGGTCCCCAGACCCTGCCTCGCTCTCCGTGCTCCCCACGGGCGTATGCTGAGATCGGGAAGCCGAGCCGAGCCTCCACCCAGGGTTCATATGTGGGACTCACGTTGCCTCTTCTAGAGGGGGTCTGTGTGGGTTTTTGTGTGTCTGGGGGCCACACCTGGGGGTGCTCAGGAGACAGTGTAGGATGCTGGTGATGAGACTCCAGCGTGTGCTTCACTCTTTATTTTCTAACTCGCGTGGCTCCTCCTTTTCGGAGGTTCTTGCTGCCAGATGTGCTGATCTGAAAACCGTACGACTTCAGGTCAGACCGCAGTTTTCTCCAAGCCTGCGTGTAGCCCTCAGATGCCCGCTTCTGGGTGGACCCCCCGCCCCAGGGACAGTTAATCCAGAGTCAGGGCCTGGAGGTGGGACGGGGCTGGACAGGGAGGCCATTCAGAGCCCAGGTCCTGGCTCTGAGTATTCCAGCCCAGAACCACATGAGCAGATTTGAGCCACCAGAATCTCACGTGCTTCTCAGAAAAGGCTGAAGGAAGAAAGTGAGAGCCCCCTGCTCCAGTCCCCCCCCCGCCCCCGGTCTGTGGGTGCTCTGGGTGTCTGACCTCTGACCTCTGACCCCTCCCCGCAGCACCAGCAGCAGGTGGCGCAGGCCGTGGAGCGTGCCAAGCAGGTCACCATGACGGAGCTGAACGCCATCATCGGGGTACGTGGACTCCCCAATCTGCCTCTCACCGTGTGTATAGCCCTTTTATTCCTCATTTACCACGGCAGAGACAGCCCTGACCTCAGCCGGCCACCAAGAGTGGCGGACCCCAGGCTCCCGGGGGCCCCCTGCTGCTCACGGGCTCAGACTCCCTCTCCCCGCCCAGCTCATGGGCTCAGACCCCCTCTTCCCTGGCTCCCCCGTCGCCCAAGGGCGCCTGGCCCCTCATCTCCACTCTGGACTCAGCAGCCCCTCTGGCCCAGCTGGTGGCACTGAGCCGCGTTGCCCAGTCGGTGGGCACAGGACTGGGGTCACGACTGGTCCCCCCCCCCCCGCCCTTCTGCCTACCCTGCCCCTCTGGGGAAGGTCTGCCCCTCTTCAGCCGCCTGGGCTCAGAACTGTCTCTGCCGTGCTGTGGGCGCGGAGTGCTGGGGTGGGGGTGGGTTCTGGTGGGTTCTGCCAGCTGCCCCCAGAAAGGCCTCGGCTTCTCCGAGCCCCACAGAGTGAGACGTGGGTGCTCGGGGAGGCCCCACGGCTCTCCCCCAGCTCGTTCCATGTCCCTCTGTCTGCCCAGTGCAGGGCGGGTGAGGGCCGCGCTCACCATGTGCAGGCCGCGGGGCGGGTGCCCAGGAGGCAGGCAGGTCCCCGAGGCTCTGTCCCACAGGCCTGGCCTCCCTTGGGGGGCCCCTGGGAATCCTTCCGAGGGGCTGGAGCTGGGAGCAGGGCCCACTTGCCCTCCGTCGCCCCTTCTGTTCTCATACACGGTTCCTGTGTAAGGTGGAACCCCAGTGTCCGGTGTCCTCTTGGCTGTTCTGTTGACCGCTATGCCGTGGGCATGTCCTCATCCTGCTCTGTGCGCCTCTGGCAGAGCTGCAGGCGGGCCCTGTCTTGCCGTCTGACCCTCGAAGATGGTTCTATACCCCAAGCCTGGGCAGCTGCTGACTGCTGGGGGGGGCTGGTGCGTGGGCTAGCAGCAGGCGCGCACAAGGGCCGGGTGGGAGTCGGGGACCTGCCTTCCCGAGGGGTTGGTGGGGACGGTGGGCCATGGGCGGTGTTCGCAGGCGGTGTTGTTAACCTAGCAAAGTGGCCTCTCCTCAGGTCCTGTAACCCACGGCTTTTGCCACGCCTGTAGCAAGTGGGCTCTTTGCCAGGGGCCGTCCGTGAACGGGGGCATGCACGCCGTGGGGGAGCCCCAGCTAGGGCTGTGTGGTCTTAAGGGGCCAAGGGCCTGGTGGGGCTGGTTCTGCAGAGGGACCCTGCCCCCAGCCGTGCAGGGAGAAGGGCAGCTCCAAAGTGTGACCCCCCTCCCACCCACCCTGGGGCTGGGGCTCTGCTGCGGGATGAGTTGGGGGGGTGGGGGATGGCTGTCTTCCCACCCCTCAGCCCAGGGGTTCCAGACTCTGTCCCTCTCGCCCCCAAAGGGCCTCTCGGGTTCAGGAGCGTGGACGGGAGGAGCGTCGGGGCCTTCCGAGGGGCCTACCTGCGCCGTCTGGATCAGCTCCACTTCCCGTAAATCGTATTTAGGAAGCTGCACGTTAGTTAGGTCAAGGCAGCTCGAGGCAGATATTGGAATTCAATTAAAGCCAACGAGTGGGGCCTGTGACCCCCATTTTCAAGGTAATTGCTTCTCAGGCTCGGAGTGAGTGCCGCCCTCGCCCTGTCATTAAGCAGGCAGCCGCCTAATCGCCTGATCCCGTGTCTGACAGCGCTCGCTCCCTGGCGTGCCCGGAGGGGCAGTGTGGCTGTGCTCAGCCCCGGGGCTCCGCAGGAAGTGTGGCACTGCACGACAGCGGTGTTCCCCGGCGTGGGGACCACGTGGATAGACATGTTCCCCGGCATGGGGATCGCATGCATGGGAATGTTCCCTGGCGTGGAGATGACATGGGCAGCTGTGTTCCCCGGCATGGGGGTGGCCTGGACAGGCGTGTTCCCTTGGTGTGGAGATGGTGTGGACAGGTGTGTTCCGTGGCGTGGGGATGGCCTGAACAGCTGTGTTCCCTTGTGTGGGGATGGCGTGGATAGCCGTGTTCCCCAGCCTGGAGATGGCATGGACAACCGTGTTCTATGAACAGGCGTGTTCCCTGGTGTGGAGATCGTGTGGACAGGCATGTGGATCGTGTGGGTAGGCGTGTTCTCCAGTGTGGGGATGGTCTGGGCTTGAGTGTCCCCTGGGTCTTGACTGGAAGGTCAGGAGGCCCCGCGAGGCCCCAGCTCTGGGAGTGGGGTTTTTGGCTAGTGGCCACGTCACCCTCTGTGGGCAGGGGAGGCTGGAAAGGAGCAGGTGTGTCTGCCTGGCGGGTCCCTGATGGTGCCCATGGCATGGAGCGGAGGATGGAGGGTGTGCCTTGGTGGCGAGAGGACTTGGATGCACTCAGTCCCCGTGCCTGGCTGCGTGGCTTTAGGCGAGAAGGAGCAGGGTCGTGGGGCAGAGGGGGAACGCCCGGCCCATGCGGCCCAGTGGTCCCAAGCACCCTTCTAGAAAAGACCCAGAGTGACTCAGCTCTGCAGTAGCTGTGGCAGCCCTTCCACTGGACGTCCTGGGATGGCAGGTCCCAGTTCCTGAACTGAGCAGGGACACTTGGGCCTGGCCCACACAGGCAGGACGATTTCCCTGGGCCTGTCCCCTGAGTGGAGACTGCCAGGGATGGAGCCAGTGGCCGCGGGAGTTTGAAGGAGGGGGAGCAAGCAGGCAGTGGGACCCGGCCCTGAGGGACGCCCAGAGCATGTCACTGAGTGGGACCCTGGGAGCACCCAGGCTGGATCCCAGCCCTCCCGTTCTTACCCTGCATGGGACAGACTGGGACAGACGGAGCTCAGGGGCTTCGAGCACAGGACCTGAGTCGCTTCTCTGTCACCAAGCACCCCTCATGAGGTTAGGGACTGTCCCAGGACTGGAACTCTGGCCCTGCCCAGAGGTCTGGATTGGGGCTGAGTGGGTGGAGGGGACAGGGAGGCCCGACTGCCAGGGGGAAACTAAGGTGTCCCATGAGTAGCCCAGGCCTTGGGGCTGCCTGCTGTCTCCCTCGCTCCTGGGGTCATTTCTGGCTCTGTGTGTGGGTGTGTGAGTGTGTGGGTGTGTGGTGGGGGGAGGGGGGGACTCACTCATTGACACTTAAAGATAGTCACGTGAAGGTTAAGCTTCTTCTCTCAAGCGAGGGGCCCTGGTCCTCAACAATCTCTGGGCTTGTCTGTCTAGGCAGGTGCAGTGGCTATGGCAGCCGATGTCACCCATATCCTGAATCTGGGATTGGGTCATGGGGTGCCTTTGGGAGGACTTCCTGTTGCAGCCCCCGTTGTGACCAGAGGCCTGGACCTGGGGCTGGCTGTTTGTCTCCCCGCCTCCCCATGTAGACCTTGGTGGAGTTTGACTTGTCTAGAGGCCGCCCCTTGTGAGGGCGGAAATGGATGCTGGCCCTTGCCTGCTGGGACGTGGCACTGCCCGGCGTCTTCACTCCGAGCGCTGTCATGTCTGTGGCTCGGGCAGGCCTGTGGTCTTGCTCTCCACGTCCTTTGCTGCCCCGCCCTGAGGGGCGCCCCCAGAGACGGATTGTCTAGACCCCCGTTGTGTCGATGGGAACACTGAGACTGGGTGCTGACCTGGCTCCCGGGGTCGATGATAGCCTTGCTGCAAGCTGACCCTGACAGACGAGGAAATGGCCTCAACCGTGGGCACTAGAGTAGGCGCTTCTGTGCCGAGGTCAGGATGGGGCGTTGAGTCCCTTGGGCTGCGTCTGTCTCTCCACGGGCACTTGTCCAGTAAGCGCTTCCTTGGGAGGAGTCACCATACAGCAGAGGAAACCCACGCCTCCCTTTTCTCTGCTCCTCGGCCTCCTTGGGGTCGTGCGCTGAGAAGCAGACGGGGGCCCAGGGACTCGGCACAGGCCTTCGTGAGTTCCATCCCCAGCACCAGGACGGGTTGTTGAAAAGTTGGTGAAATATGTCATTTCCGGCTTTCTGACTTCTCTGTTTGGGTGTCACCCACACCTGTTGGTACTCGGAGGCTCCGTGCCTGGGTGGTGGTCCTGGCAGAGAGGGGACCCCTGGTGCTGCGGTTCGAACCCCAGCCTCCTACTTGCACGGCGTGTGCTCCTGCGTGATGGGCTCTCAGCCTGCGTTCTGAGTTTCCCCGGTGGAAGGTCATTAAAATGGTCTGGGTGAACAGCTGGGTGGACTCGCCCCACCCGAGGATGCTGTGAAGCCCTGAAAGAAGACACGATAGCAGCAGGGAGATGAGGACAGGCTTTCAGGCCAGCTCTGCTTCCGTCCCGGGCACTGCATGTGGTCCGTGGACGCCACCGTTTCTGAGTCAAACACCAAAAGAAAAAAAATCAAAATGCCCTTTGGATTTCGAGAGCACTGGATTAGAGTCCAGTGGGATAGCAGCGAGGTGAAGGGGCCCGTCTGTACAGACACACATTTAAAATGTGTAATCTTTGTAAGGCAAAACCTAGGCACGTTAACAGTAGAATCTGCTGAGGAGTGGGATGAGGAACGGGTGTCCTAGGAGACACTGCGTACTGTCTTCCTGGCACTGAGCACGTGTTGTTTTGGGTCACTTGCCCTCCATATTACATTTTCTAGTCGGAGGGCTTGGAGGTTAGCTCAGTGGGCCGAGCACAGGCTGGGCGTTCGGAGGCCTGGGCTCAGACCCCGCACTGCGTGGTCCTCCAGACACTGCCAGGATAGTGACTCCAGACACTGAGGGGAAAACCTCCCAGAGAACAGAAAAGGAAACAGAGGTGATCCGTGGTGTGGGAGGGCTCTGAGCACCACCCTGTGGGAGGTGCTGCGTTGGGCTCTGGGACCTCCAGCACATCCGGGGTTCCGGCCTCGTGGCTTCTCGCGCCCAGTGGTGCTCCCATGAGCATGTGGTAATGACGGATGGAGAAGGCATTGGCCGCAGCCCTGCCTTCCTGCAACAGCTGGAGGACCGTAGGCTGGGGCTGTGGTGCTGAGACGGGCTCCCCTCGGCTCAGGGTGGGCCAGCTGTGGCTTAGTCGGAGGAGGGGGAGTGTGTCCACGCTGGTCTTGACACCACCTCGTGGAGCCTCACTTGGGTCATGCTGAGTCCTCGCACCTCTCCCGGCATCTCGCTTTGGGGCTTCTCTGGTTCCCGTTAGTTGCTCCCGGGGCTGCTTGCTGGTGGGGAGCTTGCCTGATGTGGGCTGCCAACCCCCTCCGTGCCAGGGCCCTTTGTGAAACTGGTGGCTGGAGGGGTGGAAATGATACTCGAGGGTCCTCGGGTGCTCAGTAGCCGGGGACCCTTTGTCGCACAGGCTGAGATGCTTGCGCAGGTGATGTGCGCTGCCCGGCTGCTTTTCCTAAGGAGTCTTCTGTCCGCGGGAGCCCACGGCTCTTGGCTGCGCCTAAAGACAGAGGGCTGACCCGAACCAAGGCTGCCCGGACCAGCCTGTGGACTCTGGAGTGGGGGCACGACCGGAGGAGGGGTGTGTGGAGGAGGCCTGGAGGCAGGCAGCGTTCTTGGCGGGGGTGGACACAGTCTGTGGGCTTTCAGCAGTGTCTGCTGGTGCTGGTGTGCAGTTGATGATGTCGGCCCGTTGTAGCGCCACTGTGCCCTCTGGCACCTGTGGGCAGTACGTCAAGGAAGTGAGAGGCCCAGATGGTCACAGTAACCTGCCCAAGGTCACACAGCTAGTCTCTGCCCCGATTCCTGTCCTCGGGGACCCCCCCTCGCTCTCAGGGGCTTCCCGCTGTGCCCCACGGTTCTGGGATGGGCAGAGCGAGAGCCCCATGGGCATCTCCCTCCGGGGACGGGCAGTCGTTCGTGCTGGTGGCATGCGAACAGGAGGCACAGTGCTACTTGGAGCTCTCCCAGCTCCTAACCCTGGCGGCGAGGACCCAGGGTTAGCAGCGGGGCTGGGGTGTGCAGGGCTGGAGACTTAAACGCCGTCTGTCAGCACCTTTGGGCCGGGAGCCGCCCCCAGCTCAGCTCTGTCCCGCTTCATTGCAGCAGCAGCAGCTCCAGGCCCAGCACCTCTCCCATGCCACGCATGGCCCCCCGGTTCAGCTGCCACCCCACCCTTCAGGCCTGCAGCCGCCGGGGATCCCCCCCGTGGCCGGGAGCAGCTCGGGGCTGCTGGCGCTCGGCGCCCTGGGCAGTCAGGCCCATCTGACGGTGAAGGATGAGAAGAACCACCACGAGCTGGACCATCGAGGTGGGGCCCGGAACTGGGGCAGCGTGGGGGGAGGTGGGGGGTGGGGTGCAGGGCTAGCCGGTGGGAGGGAACCATGATCCGTAGAGAGGCCCAGCAGGCCCTGCATTCCCGGCTGCCTGCAGCTCTGCGTGTCTGTGAGCACCTGCTCCCGAGTCCAGCCCGCCCCACCTCCAGGGCACTCCCGGGCTCTCCTGGGTCTAAGACTCAGCCCGGGAAGTCTTGCCCTCCTGGATGTGTCTGTGAGTCCTCAAGCCCATGAGTCCTCTGAGCACGGCTGGTCTGGGCCGGCCCTGAGCCCTGGGCACGAGCAGCTCCACCAGGAGTCCTGGGACTTGCCACAGGCCAGGCACTTTCCCCACCGGAAGCAGCAGGTTGCCAAGGATGCCTGGCCCTGACAGTCCCGCACATTCCAGCCACCGGGTGTGAGGGGTCGCGTGTGTGGAAAGCCCAAGGGGGACAAAGTGGCAGTCAGATATGCCCGTAGGTGCGCCCGGGGCATGTAGGGGAATTGCCACGCTCTCACCTGGCGTGCCCCTCACCCCGCCCCCCCCCCCCCCCCACTGCTGACAGGAAGTGATGGTTTGGGCTGATAGACCAGCTTCCAAGGATGGTAGTTGTCTGCTTTTTTTTTTTTTAATTTTCTTTGGCATAGAGACAGAATAGTATAATTAAGAAACAACAGCATCCTCCAGAATTCTCCTGTGATCCATTGATCCATCTAAAAAAGAAAAAGCCAGTGTGTCCTCAGCTCACGGAGCTGCAGTTCTGTCTGGTGCTGCCTGCCTGGGCCCACAGCATTCAGACCTGCCCAGTAGGGGTGGCAAGCAGGGGCCAGAGCGACAGGACAGTGGGAAGGCGTTTGCCTTGCACGCAGCCCACCCAGGTTCAGTCCCCAGAATCCCGTATGGTCCCTGAGCACGCCAGGAGCAATTCCTTGGCATCGCCAAGTTGTGACCCCAAACAAACCAAAGTCCTGCTGAGCAGTGGTCTGTGTGCCTCTCTGGGCATGTGAGAACGAGGGGCCCAGGCGCCCACCCCAGCCCTGCCCCATGGGGACCCATGCCTGGCCAGCTCAGAGCTGTGGCTTTGTTTCTAAGCTGAGAAGTCTGGCATTGGCCCTTCCCAGCCTTGGAGCAGGGGAGGCGGCCCAGGGCGCAGCATCCTGCGGGACCCTGGTTACCAGCCCCTTGGCTTCCCGTTGGCAGGTGTAGCCCTGGTGGTCCCTGCAGCTTTGCAGCCCCAGAGAGGCCCCCGGGGTCCTGTGTGGGAGATCCCTTCACACCCCCGCCCCCAAACCTGAGCTTAACAAGGAGGAAAATGTACCAGATGAAACTGACCTTTCTCCCGTTTTGTCCTTTGCCTTGGGGTCTCACCCCGCCCCCTCCTGTCCTGGGCTCCTGAATCCAAAGAGAGAGAGTCGAGCACGGTAAGTGTCGGCCCCCCGGTACTACTGGTGGGGTGTTTGGGGGTGCTGGGAGAGGAAGAACCATGGAGATCGTGGCGTGGGCTGCGGGGAGTTGTCACCACCCCAGAGAGGGTCCTTGGCTGGGGAAGCCCCTTCTGTCCCCCGGGTCCAGAGCCTCTCCAGGCAGGTCCTGAGCTTGGGTTCGGTCCTTTTCTTTGAAAGGTGATCCCCAAGGGCTGGCCAGTCCAGTCTGGGGCTTCCCAGCAGGTTAGGAGGCTCCTGGACTGACCCTGGTGCTTGGGACTGGAGTGTCCGCACCCTGGGCCAGGGGTCCTGTGCAGCCCCCATGCTGCTGCCTGTGTGCGATCCTGATGGCCCCCCGCCTCCTCTCCCCCCCCCCACAGTCTTCCCAAGACCCCACTCCCGGTCTCAGCCCGTGTGTGCAGTGCTGAGATTTGTTCTAAGTCTTTCTGATCACACTGAGGCTCAGAGGTTCCGTTTCAAGTGAACGACACTCTGAATAAACGCAGTAGTCCGGAGGACGGCTAGAGAAACCGTGCCTCCCCCCCAGCCAGCCGTGAGCCCGGGCTCTGTCTGGGAGAACATTTCTGGCGATTACGGGTCAGGCATTTAACTAACCATTGAGCAGCAGCTTCTGTGGCTGCTCCCCGCCCAGCCCTGACTCCCCGAGCCTCCTGGCCAGCGTTACATCTCTCGTCCCCGCACTCCTGTCTGTGCCTTCCCAGCCTGCCTGCGTGCCCAGAAATCCAGGCCCACTTTGAGGCCCTGGAATGAAAGTCGGAGCTGGACATCCAGCGTGGACACTGTTGGGGAGGAGGGGGCTGTGCCCACCTGGGAGATTGCGCTGGGGCACCCCAAGGCCTTGGGCCTGTGGTCACTGGTCCCTGAGCCTCTTCTTCCATGGCTTCCTCCAGCCTCAGTTTCTTTCTTTTTTTTTTTTTCTCCTTTTAGCCACACCCGGCTGTGCTCAGGGCTTACTCCTGGCTCTGTGCTCAGGGATCACCCCTGGCGGTGCTCGGGGGACCATATGAGATGCTGGGGATCAAACCGGGGTCGGCCGTGTGCAAGGCAAGCACCCTTCCCGCTGTCCTTTCGCTCCGGCCCCTCGAGCTTCTGGTTCTTTATCTGTGGCAGGAGCATCGGGGGCCCCCTCCAGCCCGGCCCGGGGTTCTTCTGGCTTTCTCGTCCGCTCTCCCCTGCGGCCACCCTCCTTCCTCTTCGGGCTGGGGCACCCCGCCACCCTCCACACTCGTCAGACTCTCAGGAGGTGCCACAGATGGGGGAGGGAGGTGTGAGAGGGTGGCACGGACCCCGGAGCGTGCACTGTGTGCAGGCCCTGCAGCCCTCGAGGAACCGGTTGTCAACAGATGTGGCCTCGGGCAGGAAGGACGGAGGGGCGGGCGGAGGGGAGGGAAGGGGAGAGGAGGGGAGGGGGCGGGCGGCTGTCCCCGGGCGCCGTCTGCAGTCCAATTAGAACAGCTCCATTCATATTTCCTTGCCTCGCCGAAGCAATAAAAAATACTTAGCTTCTTGGCAGCCTGCCAGCCAGAGGCGGGCTGGATCGATGGCGCTAAATGCCTGACATGACTCTCCGGGAGCGGGGAGGGCTTTCAGCCCGGCTGCGGGAGAAGAAAGAGCTCGCTGTGCGCGAGCCGCGGGCTGGCCGCCCCGAGCCCCCCTCTCCGCCCGCAGGGGCTGGGGCCGCGGCTCCCGGGGCTGAAGCCGGGCCGCTTAGCACGGGTGGCCGGTGTCGGGGGAGATGGAATGAAACGATGGTGATTTTTCTGCCGGTGGGCGCTCACAGCGGCTAATTGAATTGCGGCCGCGTGGAAGGGCGGCCCGTGCTTCCTGCCCAGCCGCGGCCCTGTGTCCCCCCCCCCCCCCCCGCCCCCGCCCCCGCCTGAGAATCTGCCATTTTAATTCGCTGCAGGCAGAGACTTGGCAGGGAAGGGCTCCCAGACGCGGGCGTCCGGGGGAATGAGGCTTGGTGCGGCTCCCCGCAGCCCCCCCCGCCCCCCCCTCCTCTGACAGTGCCCTTGCCCGCCGCAGCCTTGGGGTGGGATGTCAGGACCTCCCCTGGCTTGATGCCCTCCACATCCACAGATGCCCCTCGCATGCCCCTTGATGGGGCCTGACTGGCTGTGGGCAGGGTTGGGGCTTCCCTTCATCTCTCTGTCCCGGGCCTCTGAGCCCCCGCCAACTGCAGGCGCTCGGAAGGGGGCCCTTCAGAAGAGCCAGCCGCGCCCCGCCCACCCCACAGGGGCCGACTCAGGACGGACACTGTGGGCCCTGTGTCCTCTTGTTCCAGACCCTCGCCCCTGCCTGCTCGGGCTGGGAAGGGGAGCTCAGAGGCACCCCCAGGCCCGACGCAGGAGTTTCTTAACGATGATTCAGAGGCCCAGGGTCAGCACTGCCGTGGAGGTCCCTCAAACAGCCGACTTCCTTTGGTGGCTCCTGCGGGGGCTCGCGAGGCACTGCCCAGCCCGGCCCCTCCATCTCCATCCCCGTCCCGGACCCTCCCGGCCTCCGACCAGGCGCTTCACACCCATGCCTGGCTGCCGTCGGCTCCTTCCTGCTGGGCTCCGTCCCTGCTGTGCCAACGTGTCCCCAGCTCTGGCCAAGGCTCGCTGAGAATCCCCCCCCCTCGGGGCGCAGATGGGTGTGGCAGGCACCCTGGGGGTGGTGAGCAGAGGTGTCCCCATCTGCGTGGTGCCCCCACCTCACTGGCTCAGCCCACGGCTCCCGGCAGGCGGACAGTCACGCAGGCACAGCTCTGAGGCGGGTGGGGCCCGAGTCTGACCCAAGACTCGGCACTGTGGGGCCGGTGTGCAGGACGGCTCACCCGAGTCTTCTCGCTTCCAGAATAATTCCGTGTCGCCCTCGGAGAGCCTGCGGGCCAGCGAGAAGCACCGGGGCTCCGCCGACTACAGCATGGAGGCCAAGAAGCGGAAGGCCGAGGAAAAGGACAGCCTGGGCCGATACGTACGTCGGGGCCCGCCTCCCCAGAGGGCTCTGGCTGCAGCAGCCCCTGGGCTTTGGGTCCTCGGGCCAGACGCAGACAGAACCGAGCGCTCTTCCCAGAATCCCCTGGTCGGCTCCCGGCACGGTCCAGGGTGCCCGTACCCTGTGCCTGCAGTGTTGAGGGGACCGTGGGACCCGGGCTCTTCGCTTCTTGGGTTGACACGATAGGCCAGAGGGAGGCTCTGGTTTCAGAGGGCGAGTACTGGGGGGCCGGACAACCTGCGGCTTCCTGTGGGCCGGGGGGCCCGTGCTGGGGGGCAGGACAGAACACAAGGTGCAGAGCAAGGCACCTGGGAGGCGGCAGCTGGGCTCAGGCAGCGAGCACTTGGGCTGGGAGCGGGGAGGAGGTGGGCCTGGTGGGGCCTTGCGGCTCACTGGCTGCTTCTGCCCTGCAGGACAGCGATGGGGACAAGAGTGACGACCTGGTGGTGGATGTTTCCAACGAGGTGAGGGCTGGCCTGGGCTGTCGGGTGGGGCTGTTTGGAGCTGGCCCAGCCTGGCTCCCCGGCGGGCTGACCGCAGTGGCCAGGGCTCAGGCCTGGGCATCCCTGCCTGGCACGGGGTACTGAGAGCTCCTAGACTAGGACTCCGAGAGAGACCCACCCCTGCCCCCTGCGCCAAAGATGCATGGAGGGGCCAGCTCCGCCTGGTGTCCCCCAGGGGCTCTCTGCCTTTCTTTGAGCCCCCAAAGATCGACCCCAGTGGCCCCGGCTGAATCCTGAGCCCGGGGACTCGACGCATGGGACTGTCCTGCAAATCTCACAGCATCTCTATGCCCTTGTGCCTTTCAGGACCCCGCCACGCCCCGGGTCAGCCCCGCACACTCCCCCCCTGAAAACGGGCTAGACAAGGCCCGGGGGCTGAAGAAGGACGCCCCCACCAGCCCTGCCTCCGTGGCCTCGTCCAGCAGCACACCCTCCTCCAAGACCAAAGACCTGGGCCACGTATGTGGGCGGGCTGAGCATGGCCGAGGGAGGGGAGGGGCGGGAGGGCCGCCCTGACCGGCTCATGTCCGGGCTTCAGCCTTAGAGCTGGCACTGTGCAAACCAGTCAGCGTTCTTGAGAGTGAATACTTGCTGGTCCTGGGGCCACACCTGGCTGTGCTCATGCCATAATGTGGGGTGTGGGGCTTGGCAGGGCAGATCCCCCCACACTTACCCGGCTGCTTCTGACTTTTTGTCGGATGGGGTCACACCAGCTGTGTGTGCTCGGGGAATGCCGCGGGGCAGGGCTGGTGGCCAGGCCATGCCTGCAGCCTCTGGAAGAGGACCAGAACCGTCCCTGTTGCCCACTAGAGCTGGGCAGGGCCTGGCCTGCGCACCAGGCCCGACCGATGCTTCACAAGCCCAGCCTCTGCGTCTCCCCTTTCAGAACGACAAATCGTCCACCCCCGGGCTCAAGTCCAACACGCCGACCCCCAGGAATGACGCCCCGACTCCGGGCACCAGCACGACCCCAGGGCTGCGGTCAGTGCCGGGTAAAGCTGCAGGCATGGACCCGATGGGTATAATGGGTAGGCGTACAGCGGGGCCCTGTGTGCTGGAGGGAGTGGACGGCTCAGAGGCAGGCTTCTGGGGGTGCGCGGGGGACAGAGTTTCAGACAGGCCGCTGCCCACGGGGACCATCCTTGCCCTGACAGTGGCTGGACGCCCGCTCTCTGAAAGGGGGGGGGCACATCGCAGCTCACACCTTGTCGGGCTGTGGGGACGGAGTGGGGAGCCCATTTCGGGAGGTGCCACCCTAGAGGACTGCCTGGAGGAGGCAGGTCGAGCTGGGCAGGGAGGCCGCCCGGTAGAGGCAGCTTTGTTCTGGAAGGAGGGCTGGGGTGTCCCCTGCCCCTGCCGGCCGCCTCCGCGCTGACTCCGCTGTCCTTGCAGCCTCAGCCCTGCGCACCCCCATCTCCATCACCAGCTCCTACGCGACTCCCTTCGCCATGATGAGCCACCACGAGATGAACGGCTCCCTGACCAGCCCCAGCGCCTACGCGGGGCTGCACAACCTCCCGCCCCAGATGAGTGCGGCCGCAGCGGCCGCCGCCGCCTACAGCCGGTCACCAATGGTGAGCTTTGGAGCTGTACGTAGACCTTTTGGCTCCTTTCGGGGGGTGGGGGCTGGGAGAGGCGTGGGGGGCGGGAGGGGGCTGGGGATCCTGCCCGCTAAGGGGACCGGGCAGCTGCCCCCACAGGGGCTGGACAGTGGTGAGCGGTCGGGGGCTCTCCCCGCCTGTCCCCCACCCAGAGGTGCCTATTTGCACGTGGGCAGGGGCGCCCCTGTGTTTCCGTCTCTGGGCTGGGAGCCCCAGGACAAGCGCCCGGTGCCCGCGCCACACAGGCCAGGCCAGCGAGGGGACCGTGGGCTCGAGGGGAGCCTGGTGCTGAGTAGGCGCTCCGAGGCCACTTGTCACTGTGTCTGCAGCGCAGCAGTGCGGGTCCCAGAAGTGGTGGGAGGAAGCGGGTGGGGGGGGACGCAGGTGGCATTTCTCGCTAAGGGCTGGCCCTGTCTCGCCGTGCAGGTTGGCTTCGACCCTCACCCCCCCATGCGGGCCACGGGCCTGCCCTCCAGCCTCGCCTCCATTCCTGGCGGAAAGCCGTAAGCATCCCTCTCCGTGGTGCATTCTCAGGGTTGGGGGAGGCCCCAACACGCTCAGGAGGTGCTCACTGAGCCAGGCCACCGTGGCGTCCACTCGGCTCTACAGGGAAGGGACACTGGACCCGGGGCCTTGGAACCAAGTGGCATGGCGCTGCCCAGACGTGGGCTCCCCTGGCTCCTGCCACAGTGCCCTGACTGGTTCCTGAGCCGGCGGGGGGGGGGGGGGGGGGGGGGGGGGGAGGGGCGTCACGTGCCCCGCTGAGCCCGTCTGCTGTATGCTCTGGGCCCTCCTGGGCAGCACCCACATGCCCCTGGCCCTGTCACTCCACGGAGTCAGGCGCTGGGGATGGTTCCTTCCCAGGCCTGTCCTGCTCGGGGCCCACAGAGTGCGTGGGGCGCGCGTCAGGCAGGGGTCACACTACGGGGGATTCCCACGGTGCCGGGCTAGGAGGGAGGGAGACGCGCAGATGCCAAGGGACGCCTCTCCTCCTCCAGAGCCTACTCCTTCCACGTGAGCGCCGACGGGCAGATGCAGCCCGTGCCCTTCCCCCACGACGCCCTGGCAGGCCCCGGCATCCCGAGGCACGCCCGGCAGATCAACACGCTGAGCCACGGGGAGGTGGTGTGCGCCGTGACCATCAGCAACCCCACGCGGCACGTGTACACGGGCGGCAAGGGCTGCGTGAAGATCTGGGACATCAGCCAGCCGGGGAGCAAGAGCCCCATCTCCCAGCTGGACTGCCTGGTGAGGGAACAGGGCGTCTCTTTGGACGTCTCCCATCCCCTCACCCCCCAGGGCCTGGCTGGGGGCCGTTCCCTCGCCACATGGGATGCTGGGGAGCGGGAGTGGGTGCCTGGGCTCCCGGGGAGACTCAGCCTGGCTTGTGCCCCTCCAGAACAGGGACAACTACATCCGATCCTGCAAGCTGCTGCCCGACGGGCGGACGCTCATCGTGGGTGGCGAGGCCAGCACCCTCACGATCTGGGACCTGGCCTCGCCCACGCCCCGCATCAAGGCCGAGCTCACCTCCTCGGCGCCTGCCTGCTACGCCCTGGCCATCAGCCCCGACGCCAAAGTCTGCTTCTCCTGCTGCAGTGACGGCAACATCGCTGTGTGGGACCTGCACAACCAGACGCTGGTCAGGTGAGGCGGGGGGACGGATGGACGGACGGACAGGCAACCGGACGCTGGTCAGGCGAGGAGGGGGGGAACGGACAGCAGGAGGATGGACAACAGATGCTGGTCAGGTGAGGCGGGAGACGTATAGATGGACAGTAGACGCTGGTCAGGTGAGGTGATTGGACGGATGGATGGACAGACCCCGTCAGGTGAGGCAGAGGGTCAGGGGGCCTCATCCTGGACAGTTGGTGTTAGACCTGCCCAGGCTGCTCCGGGAGGGCAGAGCCACGTGGCCCAGGAGCTGGCTGGTGCGAGTGATGGGGCCAGGCTGGGGTGTGCCAAGGACCCAGGAGAGGGGCGGTGTCGCTCAGTGTCACTCAGTGAGTCGCCGTGACAGTGCCCCTCTGCCTATCGGCTAACGCGTGCCTCAGTTTCTCCATGCGGACTGGGCACGACGAGGTGCGTCCTGGGGCCTGGGCAGGGCAGCTGAGCCGCCGCCTCCTGTGGCCCCACAGGCAGTTCCAGGGCCACACGGACGGGGCCAGCTGCATCGACATCTCCCACGACGGCACCAAGCTGTGGACGGGCGGCCTGGACAACACCGTGCGCTCCTGGGACCTGCGGGAGGGCCGGCAGCTACAGCAGCACGACTTCACCTCACAGGTACCCCCCCCCCCCCCCCCGCCCCGGCTCCCAGCTCCTCCGGTGGCGCTCCTAAGGGGTGTGCAGCCCGCTGAGTGATCTGGGCAGGCTTCCTGGAGGCGGTTGCAAGGCTGAGGGTCAGAGAAAGCATTCTGCGATGCCCCGCTCTGCCTGTTCGCTGCTTGTGTGCGAGTTTTGAACATAAAGGCCCAAGTTAGGCTTTTACTCCCTCGCCCTCCTGAGAAAGGCCAAAGCCTGCAGGTAGCACCTTCGAGGGGCTTGCCTGTGGTGCGATGGCTGACCTCGCAGACTTGCTTCCGGGCTGGAGAGAGCGCAGTGGTTAGCGCTCTGGCCCCTCTCAGCCTAGCACCAGTGACCCTCGTGGCGCCCCACAAGCCTTGGGACGAAAGGGACTTGGGGAGGTCTGGGGGGAGGGTCTCTGCCCTCGCCCGGGCTCACCCTGCCTCGTCCCCGCAGATCTTCTCGCTGGGCTACTGCCCCACAGGGGAGTGGCTGGCCGTGGGCATGGAGAGCAGCAACGTGGAGGTCCTGCACCACACCAAGCCTGACAAGTACCAGCTGCACCTGCACGAGAGCTGCGTGCTGTCCCTCAAGTTTGCCTACTGCGGTGAGCGGCACCTCACTCCCGACCCCACGGGCTGGGGGGGATGCCTCTGGGCGCTGCCCTGACTGGGTGTGGCACCTCTGCCACGCACCCCCGTGGTCTCCCTATGGGTCGGGCTGGGGCGGGCTGTTCCTGGGCCCTCCCCCCCGCCCCCAGGACCGAGGGTGAGGGGACAGCGTGGCTGGCATCCTTAGTGGCTCCCACAAGGACCTCGTGGGGAAGTGCCAGCCTAGACAGCCCTGTGGGCCGTGCCCCGTAGCCGACTGATCGGGCAGGGACTTGCTGAGCTCGGGGTGGGTGCCCAGGGTTTGGCGTGGACGGCACAGCCTGACAGCCCCCTACTCTGTCCACAGGCAAGTGGTTTGTGAGCACGGGGAAGGACAACCTCCTCAACGCCTGGAGGACGCCCTACGGGGCCAGCATCTTCCAGGTACCGCTGGGCGCCACGGTGCCATGGGCAGGGGGTATTTAAGGGGGGCCCAATACACCCTCAGGCACAGGCGGTACCGCCACGGCACACATACTCTGTGCACACTCACTGCACACTGTGCACACTCACTGCACACACTACACACGTGCGGCACACTACACACATGCAGAACACACTGCACACACTACACACTGCATACATGCTGCAGACTCTGCAGGCTCACTATACACACCCCATACACACACTGCACACACTGTACACATGCAGCACGCACGCTACGCACTGCAAACACTATACACACCATACACATACTGCACACACACTCACTACAGACACTGTATAGACGGCACACACTCACTATACACGCTGCACACACACTCCTTGCATTCGCTCACTACACACAGTATACACACGGAGCGCACTCATTCTCCACACACTCACTGCACACACCCTTAGCCTTGGCCCACGCCACAGCCCTCACGCACACACATACTCCGTGTACCCTTGTGTGGACTCAGGGCCCTCAAACCACTTCTTGGATTCAGACTGGGCAGCGCCTGGCCCCCATGCCTAGCCTTTCTGCTTAGACTGGGCACCCTGAACTCAGGTGGGTCTTTCCCAGCCCAGCAGACTGGGGCCAGGCCTGGGCCGCCTCTCTCTTGGCACTGTCCTTCTCGTGAGCTTAGTCGCGTCTTCCCCCCGTCCGTTTCCCCCACCCCCGCCAACACACACACACACACACACACACACACACACACTGCTCTGGGATGATCTTTCAGACTTGCTTTCGGACTGGAGAGACAGAAAGCAGAAAGGGAGCTTAGCTTGTCTTGCACTGTGGCTGACCTGGGTTTGGTCCCTGGCACCGTTTGGGTCCTGCCAGGACTAATAATACCTCGGTGCAGTGCCAGGAGTAAGCGTTGGGCATCTCCAGGCGTGGCTCACCTCAGACAGACTTGTCTTCAGAATCTGAGGAAGCCCCAGTGGGCTGGGTGCTTTCCCTATGGCAGTGAGCAGGGACCCTTCTCTGGCCACGCTTGAATCCCTGGGACCTGCTGGCCGTGCGCGTGCGCGGGTGGGTGGCGCGGAGCCCCGGCGTGAAACCTGCTTTTCTCTCCCCCTGCTGGCCTGGCCGCTGCAGTCGAAGGAGTCCTCGTCCGTCTTGAGTTGTGACATTTCGGCGGATGACAAGTATATTGTAACAGGCTCTGGTGACAAGAAGGCCACGGTGTATGAGGTCATCTACTAGACCAGGACTCGCCAGGGCTGTCGGACTCCCGGAGACAGACTCTGCTGTGACAGGCAGCCTGGCCAGCGCCCAGGAGGGCAGGGGCTGGGCTGCTCTGCGGGCTGAGCCGGTCGGTCCTGCGGGACCCCCAGCCTCACCCCTCCCTGTCTTTCCTGCCCCTTCCTTCCGACCCGTCCCCCTGCCCGGGTCGGGGACACTGGAGCGGACCCCGTTTCTGCGCTGGGGGGAGGGGGCCCGCGCCCCGTCTGTGAAACGTGTACATAACAGAAACTCCGATGGACCTTTGGGCGGGAGGACCCGCCGGACGCTCGCTGTGTATCTCGCCTGCTGTACTGCGGCCCACGCGTGGGCGGCTTTCCTGTTTTCTCTCAAACGAGTTCCCCGATGGGGAGGGGCCGAACGCAGAGAAGGGGCCGGCGCATGTGACCCTGGCCGGGGCTGCTGGCCCCGTCCACACCACTGCTGCCCGGCCCCGCCCCGCTCAGGTGCTGAGCGCTCCTGTCTCCCCTTTGCTGCACTCCCCCTCCCGGGAGACCCCTCCCGGGAGACCGTGCAAGCAAGGACACGCCCATCCCGGCTCGGACACGACCTACAATGGACAGTTAGAGGCAAGCATGGCAGCTCAGCTCAGGGAGCCCCAGAGACAAGGAGCAGCTGATGTGGTGTTGTTATTTTTTTTTTTTTTCCTTTTTGGGGGAATAAAAAGAATTAGAAGGTGTTTTTTTTTTTTTTTAAACTAAAATAAACGCCTTCCTTTCCTGCCCCTGGCCCCTTCCCCTGCCCTGCGTGGGAAGAGTGTGACCGGTGGGGCAGGTCCAGGTGAGGCTGCAGCCCCGCCCGGAGCAGGGGGACGCGGCTGCCTGCAGGTGCCTCTCGCCTTCCCAGGTGTCCGAGGTATTAGGACTTGGGCTGTTTTGGTTTTCCTTTGGGTTGTCGTTGTCGTCTTTTTGTTCCTCACCCCCCCCCTTTGTTGACGGAAAAGCAAAAGGCCACGGTGGGCCTGGCAGTGGGGCTCTCTGGACGGAGCCTGTGGAGGAGGGTTTTTATACCGTGTTTCTGTGGATGTAGCACGTAGTTCCACCTGGAGAGGAACCTGCTCCCTGCGCTGAGCTCGCCGGGGGAGCGGCCCAGACACCCCCGGGCTGCCCTCCGGGTCTCTGAGCACACGTCTGCCCCTCACCCCCCACTCCACGTCGAGGCTCGAGCCGAAAGGGAGGGCAGGACGAGAAGAAGCCAATTCCTGAAGAAAACAGAAAATGAAAAGTCGTTGTAATGAGCTGTTTTTATATTTTTAAAAGTTACTATTTAAAGGTTGGCTTGATTGTTGCGTTTTGATTCTCTCTCCGTCCTCCCCAGTGAGGGAGCCAAGGCCCCTGGCGCCCCGAGACTCCTGATTCAAACCTTCATGCCGCAGTGGGCCCTGAGAGGACAGTCCCAGGGTTTCAGCAGGGAGACGTCCCCCAGTCTGTACCGGGCTGCAGAGGGAGGGACTGGAGCTGTCCCTGGGCCACAGTGATGCCAGAGTGCACAGCAGGACTGGTGTGTGGAACCAGGGGACACTGCGAAGGATCTGCACATCTGGACCCTGGAAACTAGCGTTATCTCTTCTAATGTAAATGGGAGGGATGGGGGGGGGTTGATTCTCGGCTAGGGTCAGGCCCTGGGATGTCCCAGGCTCCCGAGTCCCGCAGACCCACTGGGCAGACACCTGGCCGGGTGCCTTGCTTTGTCGTCACAATTCATACCTGCTCGTTTCCTGCAGGACAGGGCCTGAAGAGCCTCCTTTAGAAAGGTGCTCATGACCCAGTGCTTGCATGAGGCAGGTCCTGGGTTCAGTTCCTGGTGATACCAAAACACACACAACAAGACCAGTCCGAGCACCTCCAGAGAAGCAGCATTGGGGTCCCGCATGCTCGGGGGCGGCGGGGGGGAAGGTGCTCGGAGGGGGCCAGGGGGTGGGACACCTTTAGCAAAGTCCAGTCAGGCCAGGCTTGAACTCGCTGCTGTCTGTCTGCTCGGGATTTTCAGGAAGCGTCACTGCATCCCGCTCCTCATTGTCCATGGCTCTGCACTGCAGTATGGGCCCGGGCGCACAGTAGAACGGCCCGGATGAGGGGTGCCTGCCATGGCTGTCCACTGGCTCTGAGGCTGGACTTGGGGCCGACTGTGTAGTCCCACCCGCCCACTGCAGTGAATAGCCAGCGTGGAGACAGGCGTGCTCAGTGCCCTCCGGAGGGGTTGAGGGAGGAACAGCCCTTCATGCAGGACACAGCCTTTGTACCCACCTAGAGCCCGCCCCACTGCTCTGCTCTGCACCAGCCTCCAGACACGACCCAGGCAGCCTTCCCAGCCCTGCGCCCCACTCCCTGTGAGCACAGCTCCCCCAGCCCTGCTCAAGCAAATCTGCATCTCGCCACAGTGCCACATGGGCACATGAAGCCCCAATGGACCACAAGGCCAAGGATGACTTCTAGTCTAAAGGGAGGGCCTCTTCTCTGGAGCCCCATCGGAGGCTCAACTCCCATCCTCGGTCCTGCCCATTTTGGTTCGCCTAGAGGAGTAAAGAAGGCTTCATAGTTCATTTACGGCCGTTTAAAAAAAAGTGGTCCCTGTTATGTTCTTGTGAAACAAACCCAAGCTCCTACCTGTCATCTGTGACATTTCTCATCTGTCTGCCCAGCTAGTCTGGCTTCCCTGGAGGGCTGCGTGCGGTCAGCCGGGGCAGTGCTATGGCCTGAGCAGTTACTGTCCAGCCCTGCCCAGCGGCCACAGCCCAGAGACCAGAGCTGTCCCCTGGAGTTCCTCCTGCTCGAGTAAGGAGATGGCTTGTGGCATCGGAGGGCAGAGGGTGTGGCTGAGGACCAGCTCCCGGGATTCTGTTCCAAATGGATGAGGGACAAGTTCAGGTCTTTGCTGGCAACACCTGGCCAGCCCTGTGCCTGGCGCTGAGCTGCTGCCCTGGCACCTCGTGTCTTCAGGCCCAGCACGGACAGAGTCTGTCCTGACCTGCGCGATCTCCAGGTGAACCGCCAGGTGCAGCAGCTGGGCAGGTCCATCGCAAGACAGCCCAGGGCTCAGCCTGACCATGTGACCCTGCAGTGTACAAGTGGAAACTTTACCTCCAAGAACACAGTGTTTGAAAACCTTATTTTTCACGTAAATAGCCAATTTTACTGTCTTTCCTCCCATCCCTACCACTTCCTGCTCCCCAACTGCCCTTTTTCTTCTTTTTTGTAGCGCCAGGATCAAACTCCGTGTCATCATACGTATGAGGCAGGTTTGCTGTCGCCGAGCTGTATCTCGGGCCCTCTAACCAACCTCAGCTTATTTGCATCTGATGTTTTCTGTGTACTTAGACAATGTGTCCAATTCTGGTTCCCAGAAAACTTTATTCCTGGACCGCACCAGTGGTGCTGGGGTTTGCTCCTGGTGGTGCTCAAGTGACCATTAAACTCAACATGCAAAGCAGATGCTCAGCCTATGGCACCAGCCCCGCAAAGGTTTTAAAGTTTGAGTCCGGGGAACCACACCCAGCTATGCCCCAAGGCTTTCTCCCAGCTCTGTGCTCAGGGATAAACTCCTTGTGGGCCTCCGGGGACCATATTTTGTGTTGGAGATTACGCCCAGGTTGGCGAAGTGCAAGGCAAATCTTACCTGATGTCCTAGTGCTCCGGCCCTTAAATTTAATTTTTACTTTATTTTGGTTTGGAGAGGAGGCTGCGACAGGATGCAGGGGTGGCCCCGAGCAGTGCTTGGCAGATCATCCAGTGTTCTGAATGACAAGCACCCTAGCACTTGTAACTGTCTCTCTGGCCCTTGAAGCTTTTTAAAAATACTACACGAAGGCTCAGACGAAACTCGATGGCAGCTACTGTGCTTGAACATAGATCTCAGGTTCCGTCGGGACAGCAAAACCGCACTTTTTTTTTTTAAACAAGTACACCAAAGTTGCATCTTTCGTATTAGAAGGTGAATCTCTCCTGAGCCCCTGATCTTATGAAAGATCTTACCTAGTGAGTCACAGCCTGGGCTAACGCTGGACTCAAGCCTCTCCTACGCCTAACTCCTGGCGCACATTCAGAAGGACAGGAAGCTGGACAGAGTGTTACTTGGGGAGATGAGTCCAGGGGATGAAGTCTGCTCTTTCTCCAACAGGATTGCCTTCAGTTGTGTGGCTTGTGAGTATTTGGGATGAAATTAAATGGAAGTGGTTTGACTAGCCTACCTTGCAAGAAAGGAAAGGGATCCTTTAATGTCATAAATAAAAGACTTTCAAAGCTCCCAAGCTCAGGACAAGACCTGAGATGACACGGAGCAGAAAGAAGAGTGGGGTGGGAGGCCGTGGCATGCCGTTAAAGGAAGCTGGTAGGTCATGTGGAGAGAAACGTGTCAGGACACAGATTTGAGCTTCATAATTTGCGGGATCAAAGCCCCACACAGCTGGTACTTGAAGAGGCCAAATGATTTTCCAGCCCTCTTAGAAGACTTAGATTTCCTGATTAAAAGATAGATGAGGCATTTCACAAGATTCAGTACCCACTCATGGCATTTCTTTTCTTTTTTTTTCCCTTTATGTTTTGTGTTGGCCCACACCCAGTGATGCTCGGGGCAGACCCCTGGTTCTGCACTCAGGGATCACTCCTGTCAGGCTCGGAGGACCCCATGGGGTGCTGGGAATCAAACCTTGACCAACTGCATGCAAGGCAGGCGCCCTGTATGCTGCATTATCCCTCCAGTCCCAGATTCACGGTATTTCTTAGAGTACCTCAGCAGAACTTAAAAAAGACGCCTTTAATCAGACAGTGGAGAGGGAAGCCAGAATGGCAGTCCCCAAATAGATACAGATTTTAGAAATATTCTTCTTTAAGTCAGCAACAACAAAATGTTTTATTATTACCTTTTCTTCCCGGCATGGTGCTGGAGAGACAATGCAATCAGACAAGTTAATAAAATAGGGCGATTGAAGTCACTGTCACTGTCACTGTCTTCCCATAGTTCATCGATTTGCTTGAGGGGGCACCAGTAACGTCTCACAACAAATTGGGAGACTTGTTATTACTGTTTTTGGCATATTCGACTACGTCACGGGTAGCTTGCCAGGCTTTACCGTGCGGGCAAGATACTCTTGGTAGCTTGCCAGGCTCTTTGAGAGGGGCAGAGGAATTGAACCTTGATATATATATGTGTGTGTGTGTGTGTGTGTGTGTGTGTGTGTGTGTGTGTGTGAACTATACAAGCAAAGAGTTTAATAAACAGTGTTTAGAGCTCCAAGATTAATATTCATGAGTCAATGGCATT